TACATTTCACCCAGTTTCTTAGCTTGGAGGTGGCTGCGTTGTTGGAGAAAAAAAATGAAGGATTTTTGCTACTTAATTAAACCTCTGTCCTGCTACTTAACTCACCAGTCCTGATGTTCAAAACATCTGATTACTTCGTTGATGAAAACATATTGGCTCTTTATGATTTGTTTGAATCCCCAACATGGACGGTTGCAGACCACATCGAAATCAACCGCTTTGCTGAAACTTTTCAAAAAAAGACTAAACATCCCTAACCAAAAAAAACTAAACATCCCTAACTAATATATGAACCAATATATGAAACCAGTGCTTCAATTCTTCGGCAACATGACCAGCCAAATTTTTCGAAAAAGGTGACGAACTCTGAACTCTGAGGCCTCGGCTCGGCGCGGCTACCTGCTCTATGTTGCAGGCAGTTGATTTCCTTAGCTCCAAGCCTTGTTTTTTGGGTGTAGGCTGGGGATTCACTGGAAACACGCCTTGATTTCTGGTTGATCTGGTTGATCTGGTTGATCTGGTTGATCTGGTTGATCTGGGACCCGAGGTTCCAGGCTGTTCCAGGTAGCATGTGATATTCGAAAAAAAAATCGATACTCTGTTCCTGTTGGATACATATCGATACTCTGTTCCCGTTTTTGCTATTTGTAGATGCTAAGACTCCACAAGACTTGCAGCTCCGGTCCATTGGAACTTGGCCACTGCTTCTGTGAACTTTGCGAAGAAAAACAAGACGTTGCGGAGCAAGTGGATCATTGGTCCTCGTGGTTAGGGTTTCTGGGGTTAGACACCAGCCAAATTTGTACACGGGATCATTTCACCTTAAAAATATGGTTATAACATGTTATGACTATCCGATGATGGGTTCTGTAACTGGGGGTATTATGGGGTATTAACCATACAAAAAAACATTTTGTAAACCATCTATTACGTGTTAGTATGGGTTTATTATCAACATTACATTTTATAAACCAATCAGTTATTAACCATACTAACACTACATGGGATAATTTCCACGAACTGGGGACGCATCCGATTACTTAAAAATGGGTATTAACCAAACCACGACCGCGACGACCGTTTGATGATCCTCCAAATCGCTCCAGTTTCATTGGAATGATGGCTAGTAGCCTCTGGTAAACATACAAAAAGCTATGGAAAATCACCATTTTTTCATAGGAATATCAACTATTTTCGACTGGGCCATTTTCAATAGCAAACTGTCAAATTACCAGAGGGTACTGGATATCCTGGTTAGTACATACCATTCACATCCATTCGCTGCGATAATTCACCAACACCTCACTGGATTTTTTTGAATTCGTCTCCAGTGCCATTCCCAAGTCAAGCTGTATTCAGTCAAGTCAAAGTCAATTTAGTAAACGCAAGTGTGCTGGATTTCAGTTTTTTATCGGTGGTAGCATCTGATAATTCCTATTCACCATCCCACTGATATGAAGCAGCAGTTGCTATAAACAAACAACACCAGTTTAACTTAAATATATGGTTTTCAGCGCATCAGTTTTTCATTTCAGATGAAATTCAGAAATTTTAACCAGGGAAAGGTACCTACCATCTGATAATTTTCAACAATTTATGTTACCCTCTGGTAAACGTTTACATAACTATGGAAAATCTCCATGCTATTAATGGGTAAATCCACTATTTCTATGGCCATTTTCAATGGCAAACTGTTAGTTTACCAGAGGGTATCATAATCCAATCACATGGGATAATCCTTCCCATTGGCTAATATTTTTCAAGATGGTTAAAACCACCAGCCAGGAATGGGGGATGGAAGTATTACAGTATATTAACCATATATTATACATGACATATTAACCCATATATTAAAAGAGCCTGGCTCAATTTATGTGGATTATTAACCATTAATTAACCATATAAGAATGATTGGTTGGGTTATTATTAATGGTTAACCATATATTAACCACATATTAACCATATATTAACCATATATTAACCATATATTAACCATATATTAACCATATATTAACCATATATTAACCACATATTAACCATATATTAACCATATATTATATTAACCATATATTAACCATATTAACCATATATTAACCATATATTAACCACATATTAACCATATATTAACCACATATTAACCACATATTAACCATATATTAACCATATATTAACCATATATTTTTCCGGTACTTGTTGGGTTTATAAACCAATCAGATGTGATTTCCCCCTGGGTTTTTTCCACCGGATCCACCTGTCCAGGTGGCGAGGATGCGGCTGGGAACTGCCTCAACGATCTCTGGGCCTCGCAGGACGGAGGCTTGTCCTGGCGCTGCATGTCTCAGGCGCCTGGGGACGGGGGGGGAGGGCCTGGGATGGGGGAAACCATGGGGTTTTCCATGGAAAAACATGGGGGAAACCTTTGAATTGTGGGATTTTGTTGGGATATTTGAAAACGGGATTGAATGGAATCTATTTTTTTTTGGATTCTTGGGATAACGCCATATTTCACCAACAACAGTTTTTACATCATTTACCATCATTTTATATGATCCCGGTATAACCGTGAGAACAACAATTCTTTCAACAACATTTACTTGTATGACTTCATTTTTCTTCATTTCATTTTACTTGCATATTTTTTCTTCAATTCTGGTTGGATAATTTTCACCATTTTTACGCTCGGATAGAATCCCTTCTCTTCATTTTCTTTGTTTTCAACCCACCAAAAAATAATTGAAAATCATCAACATCCATCTAAATTCCACTAAAAAGCATCAAAAATCATGAGCATCCCATAGAAAACCCCTAGAAATCCCACCTTTAGCCGTCCATCTCGTCGTTTTCCCAGGCCTCACCCTGGTCCCCGCGCGTTTGCAGCGCGCTGCTGGCGGTCCCTGGGCGCCCGGAGCGGCTGCTGCTCTGTGGCGGGCTGATGACGGCGGCGGAGGTTTGTGGGGATGACCCAGTCACAGAGATGGGGGGGGTTGGATGGTGAACTTCAGGGTTTTCACGGGATAGAAACCCTCTGGTGATGTCAACAGTTTGCTATTGGAAATGGCCCAGTCGAAATAGATGGTTTACCTATGAAAAATGTGATTTTCCATTGCTATGTAAACGTTTACCAGGGGGTAATTGTTTTTTTTCCTAGCTATAAGTTGACTTTATATCTTGGTTAACCATGGTTTATGGGTCATATAACTATACTGCTTGGTGGTGACTGGAACATGAAGTTTATGACTTTCCCATCATATTGGGAATGTCATCATCCCAACTGACGATATCATATTTTTCAGAGGGGTAGGTATACCACCAACCAGATGATTTTGATGTGAGATATATTTTATTTTTAAGGATAACAAAGCATCATATATCAAATGGGATTATTTATATATATATATGTATATTTTATGGGGGAGATAACCAAACATCATATATCAAACGTAATAGAATTGTTTGGATAGTGTTCATTTGTGGGGGATATGGCCAACCATCATATTAACAGGATATAGCTGACATATATATATATATATAACCCCCATCATATTGTTTATCGGGAGATATTTTGTTATTTTTAAGGATAACCAATCATCATATTATATAATGGGATTATTTTGATGGGGATATAACCAACCATCATATTCATGGGACATGTCAAACGTAATAGGATTGTTTGGATAGTGTTTATTAAGAGGCTTAATGGGGGTTTAATGGGGGTAAACCTTCTGTTCATATAACTCATAAGCATTATTGTATGACATCTAACTATGAATATATTAGCCAATAATAATGTATCTAGGGTATCTATGAATATTAATGGACACAGGACTGGGCTTATTTTCATGGTCTTATGGCTATAACTATGGAAAAACAATGGTTAAGATGGATCATAACGATTAATTATATGATTTTTTCCATGGCTATTAATGGTTATTAATGGTGATTAATGGGTATAACTGTGGGATTTTAACCTTCATAAGTTGGGATATGGGGGCCAAACAAACTATGGTTAGATAACCAGCAACAATGACAATACAAAACCAGTAAAAATACGGACATCATGGTTTTTTTTCCATGTTTTTTTTTTTGTAGGGTTTTTATTATGTAGTAGGGTTTTTATTGGTGATTTTTTGTAGGGTTTATCAAAAAATGGGGATTTTGCGTAGGGTACAACAAAAAATGGGGATTTTTTGTAGGGTAAAAAAATGGGATGTAGTAGGGATAACTGGGGATGTAGTAGGGTTTATCAAAAAATGGGGATTTTTTGTAGGGATAACTATCAGTTGACACTTCAAAATTGCCTCATTTTTTTTCCGACCCCTGGAGGATGATCCAACAAAGGCATGGGGGTTGTGGCTGGCAGCCGGGGGTGAAACCCCCCACATGGGATTTATTAATGGATTTATACAGATTTATACAGATTTATATGGATTTATATGGATTTATATGGATTTATATGGATTTATAGAGATTTATAGAGATTTCTACCATAGATCCTTTTATCATCTTGTATCTAGCCACTTATAATGATCAGGATAAAACTGATCTGACTGATCTGATACTTATAAATTAATGCTAATTAAGTATAGTATATAATTATGGTCATCCCATAATTTCAGATGATACTTCTGCACTTATATCCCATAGAAATCCTGATATCCATAGATATATGGATTATTATGGGATGACCAGCATTTATAATACTATGATCCTGAGGATATAGATTTCATGATAATCCATATTTATAGTGCACTATATCCATATATCCCATAGATTGTCATTGACTTATAATTTCTACCATAGATTTCATCAATCTCCGGATTTCTATGGGATGACCAGCGCCTAAAGTTTAGCGCGCCTAAACCAGGCCAGGACTTATGGCTCAGCGATGATGCAGGACGGACGGGGAGAAGAGCGGGGCGGAATCTTTCGGATTTTTTCGTCGTTTTTTAGTGGAAAATCGTTACATAACAGCCATTTTCAGAGTGGTAGGTATACCACCA